TGCATCGAATGGTATACTTTTTGCTAGGGTGAGGTCAACTTAAGTAGTTGACCTCGGGTCAAGGTCAGGTCAGAGCCCCTCAGGTCACGAAGCTGGGCAAAGGGTATCATATGGCATATCATTCGATTCGGAAGGTCTTCCCGAGTCCATTGGTGGCTTTCCCGACTCTCTAGCTCCATTTGATCGGGAGTTATTGACGAAAAACTCGTACGACCCTAGTGACGTCATAAATGACGTCACGCAAGGTTAACAATGCAAAAGTAAAGCATTGGACTTTGCAAGGAGTGCATGAAATCACGATACCATGTACGTGGGATAGTTTTAGATCATTCTCGGCGCCAAAATAACAGTTTTTATATTTCCCAATTGATTTATAACAGTGATGTCACGTGACCGACCTGACCTCATGTAACTTTGAAAAATTCCCAGATATACAAGTTGTGAGACCTCTGGAGGACACCATGTATGCGTCCTGTAGCTTTCAGCTCGGACAGCTATGGTCATTGGCGTCCAAAACAATGTCCGAACCAAACAGCCCTTTTCACCCTCGCGTTTATAGGAAAGAGGGTTGAATGAACCCTCTTTTCACTTTTTTCAGATGACTCAGACTTGAATTGAAATTTCAGTAACCCGTGATGTCACTAGGCAGCTTTACCACGCCATTTGTAAGCTCCCCTCCCGAAATCACTATTCGAAACCGTTATCGTGACGTAAAATAAATACATTTATAGAAAGAACACCTTTCTAATTTTTTGCATACTTCTTAACAATGAGAAAAATATTTTTTTCAAAGAAATAAAAATTCAAAAAAATTTGGTCCCAAAGTCCAAAAAATACAAATGAAAGAAAACTCGATATGTCATAGGGGAGAGTGGGGTAAGATGCCCAGGGTGGGAAAGACGCCCCACCCCCTCTAGCGGCGAAACAAAGAATTGAGCCCGGAAATTAATGTTCTTAGCGTAAAGCGGAAGCCTGCCTTGTTAACTGCACAAAAATTTGCGAAGCTCAGTTGGGCAACGGCTGGCTGGTGAATGCATGTTTTTTATTTGCTGCTTTCGAAAAATATTTTGGTGTCAAAACATTGTAAATATCAAAGAAGGCAGATAATTTTTGCGTCCCTTGCTATAGTCGTGATACATTAACATGCGTGTACTGTGTCCCAAACAGTTTGTTTCAGGGTGTAGTTTTATGGCTAACAAATTGTACTGATTTAATGTTACTTCGGTACCTTGGGGTAAGATGCCCCCTGTCCTGATGGGGAAAGACGCCCCCCTAAATCCGTAGGCTGTCCTTCAAGCAGCCCGTCAAATCATTTATTACATGCTTGTGATGAGAGACAAAAGCCGATCTGAGACTAATGAGAGTCCAATACGGTCGGGTGCTCCTCATGCCGGTCTCTCGGCCCACACAGCGACTTTTTGGGCGGCATCTGACTCTGAGAGCACTCACGACGGCCTCTGTGGGCCCCATTATTGGCTCCAGGGCCCCTCCCGACATCCTTTGAGGGCTCCCACGTTGGCTCCACGGGCCGCGCTGGCATCTGAGGTCCCCACGATGGGCTCGAGGGCCCTCAAGCATCATGAAGACCTATAAGGGCCCCACAGTGGTCTCCGAACGCCACCACGGAAGCTTGTTTGGCCGCGCTGGACTATGATGACCCTAACGATGACCTCTGAAGCCCCTTACGACCACTTTTGAGGGCCCTTACGATGACGTTTGGTGTCTACTGCAGGCTCGAAGGGACTACTGATTCGTTCAGGCGATTCACGTGCCCATTTATGTCACTTATAGTGCAGGGGGCATCTTCCCCAACGCCAGGGGGCGTCTTTCCCACCCTGTGGGGTAAGATGCCCCCTTTGACTTCTTCAGGAAAATGCTTAATAGCAAAAACAGTTATCATATTTCAGGCACAAAAGTGTGATATCTTTGGAGAAAAATGATGTCGGCTTCCGTTGAAACTCCAAGTTTTTGCTTTCCGATCGTCATTTTCGAATAATATATGACATAGTAAAACCCTGGGCATCTTTCCCCACTCTCCCCTATATCAAAAACAGCGTATTTTTCGAAATTTCAAAAATACATATTAATCTCTGTTTCATTGCAAGTTCAATGTTATATAACATTTGGCATTTGAATAATCCGTCTTAGAGTTACAGCCCGCCAAACTTAGCGCTGCAAAGCAAGATCCAAAAAATGTTATACACCATAACTCAAAAAATACTTATCTGATAAGCCTGAAATTGTTACAGGTGGATTCAGAGCCCCTGATTACCCCTGAGACCTATTCTCGTCAAATTCCGAGAGATGAGGGTGTCAAATTGGAAAAAAGTGGTACGATCTATCGTGGAATGCCCCAGCTTTGACTGCATGGTAACACGAGTTGGCATTGAACAGCATCATTTGTACTTTGTGGTAAATTTATCACCTCTACCATGGATCATTGTTCTTCTTCCGTTTTGTTATACCGCCTCAATGGGATCAAATATTGAACCATTACTGAAAACTGTGATTAATTACTGAGGAAAGTGCGGCTTTTGAGTATTTCTTTATCAATATCGATATTCATACATCAATTTATCGTTAATATTATTTTACCATAAAAATAGATATTCTTTGGTTTTGGCTTCGACAACAGACTGTGTCTTGTCAACCACCGCAGATCATCATAAAACCGTAAAGCGCTTCCTTCCGTGTGCAGATATGAAAACCGGGCCTGACTTGAATGGTAAGCTAAGTTGTTGTGGTGGCACATCCCGGTCGTGCCGATCACTGCGATCCGGCCTGTGATCGCCCGGTCCGCGCGGCGCGTGCTAGTTGACCTGGGGCGTTCGTCACGTGACCGGTAGTGACCTCGGCCCGGCGGTGTTTGGATGGGGTCAGTAGGTGACCGGGAGTGGATCAACTTCATCTGGACTTGTATTTGTTACGATTCGAAACAAAGTGTTCCTTGTGGCTGTGCTTCTTGTTGTTCCTGCGCTAGTAAGTTTCCCATCACTCCTCAGGTAGCTGGGGAATAATTAAGAGCGCTTGCCCGGCTGGCCAGCCGATTTATCAATTGACTCTGTACAATAAAAACGAGCGTTCATCTCAGTCGGATTATCCGATGACGCTCATTAACTGACCCTCATTACAATTCCACACCATGGAGGGCGCGACATTAAACCATCCCGGCCGGTATTCGCACACAACTCTGATGTCTCTCGATCACTCTCCTTCTAGAATTAGTTGAAAGGACTGAAGAGACGCCAGCCGAGCCTCGCAGACCACTATGACACGCCGACTCTACCCTTCTGACCCAGGTCGGTCGCGCTAATCCCCTGCATTGGATAGGCGTCTAGATCGCGACCGGCCACCCGCCTGTGCGAAAGGACCGCGCCGCCCGGTCTGCGTCGCACTGGCGTCTTAACCGGGCAGGTCGCACAGCGGGGTGCCGGCCCAGAAACCCCTTCTGGAGCATCTGGCGCACAAGGGTACCACCGTCCTAGCGGGACGCCGGCAAAATACCAGCTAATGACCTCAGGACCAGAGAGCGGTCAGTATCTGAGAGCGTGACCTTTCAGGGGCGATTAACCTGATCGCCTTTTTTGAGCGATGAATTGGGACTGCCCCCTGTCGTTGATCCTGACCATTGCCCGGGGCTCTGCCGGGTCCAAAATATATATTTGCCAGTTGGTCGTCCGTCTCCAGACCTGAACGAGTGTTTGACGAGGGAGGTCCTTCCCGGTTCTTCTGAAAACAGTCACAACGACCGACAGGGCCATGAAGAGTGAGTGGTTCCCGGCAGAAGCCTCCCTGAAGGAGCTCCAAACCCTCTGGGATCTGCCGGGAGCTACTCAACAGTACTGTTCAGGACCGCTGAGAGTGAAAAGGAAGATGCAGAAGCTGCAGACGCAGGACAAGGAGTCGCGGGAGGAGGAGCAACCGGAGAAGCGGCAGTGCCGGAAGCGTCTCAAAGTGAAAGAGAAATGGGAGCTGTATTACCACCAGTACTGGCTGCAGAAGCAGCTCCAACTACAGCAGCAGCTTCAGCTCCAGCAGCAGCTAACACAGCAACAACAGCTTCAACAACAGCAGCACCTCTACCACCAGCAACAGCAACTACAGCAACAGTTACAGCGGCAGCAACAGTTCCAGTGGCAACAGCCGTATCATCAAGAGCATGGGCAGCAACAGCAGTTCCAGCATCAGCAGCAGCATCAACTGAACCAATGGCAATGCTGTCAGCAGCAGCAGCAGCAGCAGCAGCAGCAGCAGCAGCAGCAGCAGCAGCATCAACAACAGTCAGATAAGCAGCAGCAGCAGCAGCAGCAGCACCGGATGCAGGAGTGTCAGAACCTCCAGCTGTGGCAGCAACAGCGGCGGCGCTGGCAGCAGCAGCAGCAGCAGAACCAGTATCATCAACAAGAGCAGATCCAGCAACGGCAGCTCCTGCAGCAGCAGCAACAGCAACAACAGCAACAACAGCAAGAGTGTCACCTGCAGCAGCCCCAATGGAACCAATGGCAGTGCTGTCAGCACCAGGAGCTGCACCAGCAGATACATCAGCAGTACCAGCAACAGCGGCAGCCAGACGAACAGCAGCAACAACCACCAATGCAGGACTATCAGCATCTTCAGCATCAGTCCCAGCAACTGAAACAACAGCAACAGCAGCAGTGCCAACAGCAGCAGTGCCAGCAGCAGCAGCAGCAGCAGCAGCAGCAGTGCTGGCAGGAGCAGCAACAAATGCAGGAGTGCAGGCTCTTTCAGTGTCAGCAGCAGCAACTGAAACAGGAGCAGCTTCTCATGCAGCAGCAGCAGCACAGGCAGCAGCAGCAGTACCAGCAGCAGCGAATGCAGGAGTGTCAGCACCTTCAAGAGCAGCAACAAAACCAGCAGAGGCACAGGCAGCAGCAACAGCAGCAGCAGTTCCTGCAGCAGCAGCAGCACTGGCAGCAGTGGCCACAGTGGCACTCCTGCTCCTGGCCATCCGGCTGCCAACAGCCCTGGTTTGACCCCGCTCAGCCGGCGGCAGCAGCCTGCGGACAGCCCGGTGACACGACCTGCGGACAACCCGGCGACAAGATCTACGGAGTGCCATCAGCCCGGCGGTAAGGCTAGCGCCGACTGGTTACCTAACGGCTGGCAGTGCAGCTAGTTGGATCATCCGCACGCTTGCCGTCACTGTGTTTAGTTCATTTGCTTCCTTTTCAATAGCCGTGCGATCAATGTTGCCATTTCGATGGATGAATTCATGACCTTCTGTGACGGGTCAGTCATGCCACTTTGTTTTGTACATATGTAAATAACAACTTGGTTTCGTTTTACCTCTTGACTACAGGCAACGTGTCACATGTTTGCGATATCGCAAAATATTGTTTATTTGTGTGTGCCGTATGATTTGCGTTAGGTATAATGTGTAATAACTCGTGGTTACCGTTGATGTCAATAAAAGGGCCCTTTGCTGGGACAACTTGAAAAATGTTTTTTTTTTATATTGGAAGGGAAAAAGGAACTGAAGGACTACGGGTACCGTAAATGCCGACATTGCGCATTCTCCAGCACACGGGCTCTCACTAAACTCGTGGAAGATACTCGAGACAAACACAGACTGCGGGACTATGAGCGCTCCGCGATTCTAAATTGAAAATTAAAACCAGCATTTGAGTGACAGAGAGCGATATTGTAATCGCCAATCTGACACATATTCCACGGCTCGTGGGAGTGTGAGCAGTGAGCAGTGAGCACGGGTGAGCCCGCTTCGCCGCACCGGTGAGGGATGCAGCTCAGTGGCTCAGCTGCCCGGGAGATGGCGCGCGGGTCGCCTGTGCTGTGTTCAGCGGGTCCGCCTACAACGCAGGCGCTCGGACCGACTCCGACGAACGCACCATGGAACACTTTAGGCTTCAGATAGAATAGAACTGGGAATATTATGAGTATGACTTAACAGTAAACAATAAACATAACAGTAAACAATAAACAAATCACTACACTATTACATAAGCAGTAATACGATTTGGTGTGCATCATCTACAAAAAATTAACGGCTGCTCATGTTGTTTTCGTCGTAGATATCAACTCATGTCCGACCTTCGCGGTTTACATGGCTAAAATGAGGTTGGGGAGCTTCAACAACACGAACGTGGAACGTGACACATGCAAATAGAATGAGGCCACACCTTCTGCTGCAGAAAGTCGATACCTCGAATAAAGTCTGAAAACATCTGTCTATCAGCTGCGTTCCGATGGCAAGTATACATTTCAGTTAAACATTATGATGTAGCCCAACATTTGTTTTACAGCCACAATTCACGCGAGATGTGTACTTATTATAGGCCTGTGATGTAACCCATGCGTAAAATCAAGTCATCGGCTATAGCTGTTATATGTATCTAATCGTATCTTTAATCTGAACTTATTGGCATCCCATCCAGTTACCAGCATACGAAAAATGGTCAAGGAACTAGCCCAAAGTCCACAATTGATTTTAATTCACTTTTCCCTGTCTTCCAACGAGTGCCATCCTGCATTTTCGTCCAGAATATGAACAAAAGAGCGAAAGGAGTTAAAATGCATTGTTTGGTATATTTTTAACCCAGAAACATGTGTGTTTGTCATAGACTTGCCCTTGCTGGCATAGAAGTTGACACAACATTTCGGGGATTGGGCGTGTTGACAGTTGCCATGACATAGGGGCTGAAGTGTGTATTTTTGTTGGGGCACTGTGAGCAGACGGCTGGATCAGGCACACTTCATAAGGCGCGACCGGACCGTAAGACTGGTGAAGGACACGCTCCGCCCACATGACGTCACCTTATCAAAACAGAGCTGCCAACTGACAATCTCAGTCTGCACGGCCGCCAACACATTCACGTGAAAGCCATGGAAAATATACCATTTTTGTGTCGTTAAAGGGGATCATGGAGCAGGAATGTGCACAAAATATCCATAATGCATGAGATCGCACCGCAATTACTATAAATACTGTAGCTGAAAATACAGATACCGGGAGATCATTTTTATGCGGTCAGTTTGTCTCTAATTCAGACGTTAGAGTATGATTTAGGAACTGAAGGTTGCCCAAAATTGATGCCCATGCACAGAATTGGTAAGCTCCGAGCATGAAATGTGGCCTATAAACTACCGCCACGGCACCGCAGATGTTGCCGCTTCTCCGCTGATAGTCCGTACCTCAGCGTGAGCAGGTATCACTGGACGAGGCCCGTAACGACGAAACAGGTCGAAAGTCGTTCTGAAAGTGAATAAACAAAACAAGAAAGTGAACACATTTCACAGAAGTGATCACATTTCAACAAATTGTGTTTCAAGGAAATTTTTGGAGCATGCGTCAATAGCGTATGATTCATGGCTATTTTCGTGAATAGTTTATGAGGATGAAAAGAAAAATGAAACATAAAAAGTAACAGATTTCCAGCCCCACAAACTATGATGTCTGTGGCTGGCAGTCTCGAGCATTCGGAGGAACACAGCACTAATCAGAGCCTGACCTTTCTCCTTAACACGCAAGTGTTCTCATCGGCGAATTCTAAGACGGTATCCACTATCCATGAACCATTACTAGAAAAACAATATCTGCCAATATTGTCTGGGCCATTCCGGCCTGGCGTGGTACAATGGTCATCAAAGGCGGACTACATTTGTTTACAGCTAATTAATTTTCAGTACCAAATGGAAAGAGGGGCTACAGGGCAAACAATACAGATGTAATGTATAATTAGGCATGCATGGACAGAAACAAGTCTGAAGGATGTGAAAAAGTATAGATTAAAGAGGTGAGAACGAAAGGTGGACGATTCATTGCTACCCAGCACATGCACGAATTTGGGAACTCAAATTATCCCAGATGTATTGCACACTATCATTCATAAAAAGACATCTGAGTTTGCATAGATCAAAATACGGCACAGTGCTAACAGTGACAAGGTTGGTATAGGGTGAACAGCGCAGACTTAGCTGCTCCACTTTGCTTATATAAGATAGACTACAAAAGCCAGTGACTTTAATGTTCTTAGAGTTGTGCACTTGATCTCGCATTGCGGTGGATTAAATGCGATCATCATCCATTCAGCTATGTGGCACTGCTTGCAAAATTTTCTTAGCAATGCGAGATTGATTGGTACTCATGGGTTTAAAATTCCAACCAAGGTCAATAAGCTAAACCTTTGGTATTCGCTCAACCACGACAAATTTATAGGTCTTTTGATATATCGTACGATTCTGCACCACTCTAAAATCACAAAAGAGTTATTGGTGTGATTTCAATGATCAATCAGACTTTCTTTACCCGCACCACACAAATTATCTGACCATAGCGCTAAGCGCCAAAAGTGCCAGATGAGCGCGGTCGGCGGTTCCATGAAGTGTGGCCGGGCGGTGGCGCAGCTGTCTGTGCTGAGGCCCTCGGTGGGCCCTGACCTGGTAACGCGGCGGTGCCGACCGGTCTCAGCCCCGTCCACCCGCACACGGGCCGACCGTGTCACCGGGCCGCCGCTGCGCAGAAGACAGGACGCCGCCGCGCCGCACCGCGCTAGTCCGTGGGACCATGTGCACACAGGACCGCATTGTGCAATGCACAGATCCCAGCCGGCACACACCTGGTGAAACGGGCCAATTTTTGTCTCTCGGCCTCTGCAGGGTCGGACAGCCGAGGAGTAGTATCTCCACACCGCTGCCATGGAGATAAACAGTTTCGGGGGTGCTGACGCAATATGGTCCTGTTCTCGTCAGAAGTTATGACATAAATGAGTTAGTGCAGTGTTTTACACAGCAGGCAGGTGACACATCTAGGAGTGCGACTCTTTCAAAAAACATAATAAAGCTAACTGGACCCCCCCCCCTCCCCCCTCACACACACGGGATGCAGAGACAGACCACCGTACCAGTGCAGCTGCTTAGTTGGGGAGTAAAACATATTGTTTTCTCCTCGTGTGGAGAAAACAATAGGTTTTGAACAATAGGTGGAGAGGTTTTGCACCTGCGTGCAAAACCTCTCCCGTTTTTTTTTTTACAACCAATAACAGCGAATGAAGACCCCAGCTGGAACCATAACAGCCCTTGGGCGCCCTTTTGGGACTTCAAGATGCATGTAACTCTCTATGAAGAGCGCGTCATACGCCTGTCGATTGACACGCATACGAGTAAAAGGACAATACGATAAAAGCCGCCGGAAAGCATTATAATATTTTTATTTCAGCCACAAGCCAGCAGCTTTTTATCAGTTTTCACCTCTAAAATCAATAGTCATTGTGTAAAAGGTAGAGGATATGTTGCTTGCATACCGACATGTAGTCAAAGCCGAAAACAATTCAGCATCAAATAAAATCCAATGTAGCTCATGAATGCTTTTTAGGAGAAAAAGAGATGGGAAACGTGGCAGCATACTCGTAAGTCCAATCAGTAATATTGGTGTGCGTCTTCTGAGTTCCTTTCCTTCTTTAACTATAACATGCACGTACCTAATTGTAGTGTGTGGTTATCGCGAAGGAAGAAAGAAGTGAAGCTCGACCCAGATATATTTTAAAAGAGGAGGAGACAAACGAAAGCAAATCAAGAGACAAGACGAGTAACCAATATCGAGCAATCCCTAATCAAGTGAGACGGCCGCGCACCGCGTCCGACCGGCGCCGCGGTCCCAACAGCTCTCCCAACCACGGCCGTATAAGAGCCGCCGGCCGCAGCTCGGCGCATCCCGTCCGCCCTCCCGCGCCTGGTCACGTGACCGGTCGGCAGCCTCGGGCGATGACCGCTCACTGGTCGGCCGGCCGCACTATGTTTTAACTCGGGATCAAAACTGGCCAGGGCTCGTAACTAAGAAACTATATGAGATACAGACGTGTTTTTGGGCTCAAACGAAACGTTGGAGACTAACGATCATTTAAAGTGCAAAATGTGTCGGACCAGATGCTCATGTACTTGTTTATGACGTCATAAGTGTCACGAAACATATACAAATATTGTGTCATATTCTAGCTATGAATGCACGAGCATTTAGGTATCTGTAAATTTATAGTAATCGTAAGTCTGAGCAAGGCTCATCGACGAGGCAAGTCAAGGTTGAGGACATGACCTTGTTAATTAGCATTGATGACCTCAGATGACCTTGAATGCTCTTATATAGGATTTATTCATATAGGACCTACAATCTTTATATTTATTAAAAAAAAAAACATTTTCAAACGTATGATTTGATATCAACTTGGTGTTAGGCCCTGTCTCCACTTTAGTAAGTCCAGAGTCCTGTATGTTTTACGTCACATGACGTCAGGGGCGGATCCAGCTAATCCGTTTGTAGAGGGCAAAAGTTTCCGATCCATTCGGTGACCTCGACCCACCGCCGCGCCGGTGACTTTACAACGCTTCTATAGCTGCCACTTTGGCTGCTCTGCTTTAATTATTTGTTGCTCTGCCTTCCTTTGTTCTTGAATTCTCTGTTATCTGACCCAAGGCGTCTGATCAACCCAATCTGCGCTAAAAATGTCTCTCGTGCGCCATCTCTTTATTGTCACTCTTGCTTCCAGCGTGACTTACTCACAGACAGCGCCCTTTCTCACACGGTTTCTGGAATTAACGCGTCTGGGTTCGATCTTAATAACATCTAGACACATATCCTCTGTCCAGACACAAACTCAAACGTAGCTCATCGGACTTCCTCCAACTTCCATAGTGAAAACGACAACAACTAACGCCGCGACAATACACCGAGCGCACCAACAAACATGTTCGAAACATCAGCGCCACCTTAGTCACCGGACAACGAGTGAACGACGCCTCCAAATTATAGAGCGGCGACTACACCCGCCCCTTTGAATCCACCCGGATTCAACAATCACAGCACAAACGAACTGAGCAGTTTCCTCTTAGTAGCGAAACATCTCGCAGACACTTGCTAACAATCGCGAATCGCACTTCAAGACATGTAAGCGCGACACCTGCATACATACATCACTTTCTGAGAACGATGCGTGCCAAGCCAAGCTACATCACAGCTCAAAGAAAGCACAACCACCTGAGAACAGCATCACATCCTCCTACAACTTAACAGGACACTTAGCACAGTTTGATGAGCTTAGAGATCGATCTCATGTACTCAGAATGTCCAACACGGACTACAACCTTCCGCACAAAACCTCTGTCATCTTTGTATGTGTCAATAACTCTACCGAGCTTCCACTGACCCCTGGGACCTTCGCCTACAACTAACACTACATCATCAACAGAAAGATTATTCTCGATATTTGTCCATTTCTGTCTCTTCTGGAGCGTCGGCAGATATTCCTTGACCCACCTCGCCCAGAACAGTCCAGACAGGTACTGAACGTGACGCCATCTCTTGCCGTAGATATCGTCGCACGTGAACGTACCTGGTGCATCTGCCGCGCCACCACGAAGCTGAAGAAAGTGATTCGGAGTGATTGGCTCCAAATCACCAGCATCTGAAGAAACGCACGTGAGTGGCCGGCTGTTCAGAATACATTCTACTTCACAGAGCATCGTGTGGAGTCCCTCGTCGTCAAGACGCTGCTGTCCCAGTATGGCACCAAGAATCTTCCGGATGGACCTAATCTGGCGTTCCCATGTCCCTCCGAAGTGACTGGCGCCTGGGGGATTGAATTGCCACTCGATGCCTCTTCTCAACATGACTTCATGTACGGCAGTTTGGTTGATCTTTTCAATCTCTTGGCGAAGCTCACGCTCAGCTCCAACGAGGTTCGTCCCGTTGTCTGACCTCATCGAACGGACGGGACCTCTTCTTGACACGAACCTACGGAGGGCGTTGATGAATGAGTCTGTGGACAGACTGCTGACCACTTCAATGTGTACTGCTCTTACTGCCATGCAGGTAAAGATCACCCCATACCGCTTCTCCTGTCTCCTTCCAACTTTGACAGCAAATGGACCGAAGAGATCGACACCTACATTTGTGAAAACCGGATCACCGGGAGTGACACGATCTTCTGGGAGATCCGACATCAGCTGTGTGACCACTCTGGCTTGACGTCTCCTGCACGATACGCACCCTTGGAGAAGGGATCGTACCGCTGAGTTCGCCGAGATGATCCAGTAACGCGCTCGAAGCCTGGCCAGGACGTGCTCTCTTCCCTGGTGTCCCAGCGTCTCATGAGCGTTCCGAATGAGTAGCTCACTCACGTGTCCACGCTTCGGCAGGATCACCGGATGCTTCGACTCGTACGGGTACTCGGAGCGCTGCAGCCGGCCTCCAACTCTCATGATTCCGTTCTTGACGACAGGATTCAGACCATAAAGTCTACTGGATCTCCTCAGCTTCTTCTCAGCTTGGGATGTCGATCCTCTCGTCTCGTCTGCCAGCCCTTCCATCAGAGCCACCTCCTCTGGGAATGACTGTCGCTGAACATATCTGATGACGGCGTCTTCAGCTTCCTGCAGTTCGTCCGTTGTCAGCAGACGCAACTTCTGCTTCTCATTTTTTCCGACATCCTGTTGCAGGCCTCGTAGTCGTTTTCTGCGTCGATCCTGAAGCATCGTCTTCACTCGAAGAACCCACGCGACGGCCTTTTTCAAGCGGTGCCAGCAGGAAAAGTATCTGATGAGTTTGTCCGTCGGGCTCACCTCTTCTTCCCTGTTCAGTGTCGCGGTGCAGACCGCCTTTCGCTTGACCTCAGGATCGTCTTCTGCTACAGCAGAGACAGCGCTGAATGGCATCTGGGGCCACTGGCTCTCGTCCTCCCACAGGAACTCTGGTCCGTGAAGCCAACGAGCTCGTTCACGGAGCGTGTCACTGTGAAGGCCGCGAGATGCGTCGTCGGCAGGGTTGTCTTGCGACGGTACGTACCTCCACTGTGATGCAGTTGAACCATCCTTGATGACGGCCAGCCGGTTTGCGACGAATGTCTGGTACCTGACTTTGTCGTTGTTTACGTAGCGGAGGACTGCTGTACTGTCCGTCCAGAAAAACGTCTCATGTACGTCTACGCTGTCCAACTCCCTCTGCACCGTGGTGTTCAGACGTACGCTGGTCGTCGCTGCTGACAGCTCCAAACGAGGAACTGTGACTTTCTTCAGTGGAGCGACACGCGACTTGCCCATCACAAAGGCACAGTGGATTCTTCCTTCCTCGTTCTCCTGTCTGAGATAGACCACTGCTCCATAGCCCCCTTCACTCGCATCACAGAAGTGATGCAGCTGGCTCTTCGTCACACACCCGAACTCTGGGGTCTTCAGACATCTGTCCACGGTGACCTCAGATAGCTTCGGTAGCTCCTCCAGCCACTTCTTCCACATCCTTGCCTCGTCGTCTGGAATCCTGTCGTCCCACCCTATTTCACGTCTGCATAGGCCCTGCAGGAGCTGTTTACCTCGCAGGAGAAACGGGCCTGCGATTCCCAGCGGGTCATATATGGAACTGATGACCGACAGAATTCCTCTCCTGGTGGCTGTGACTTCCCTGGTCTTTACGCTGAATCCTAACGCATCATCGTCAATTTTCCACCGCACACCGAGCGCCCTTTCTTCATTTTGGCACACGTCCTTGTCCACGTCCACGGCCATCTTCTGGCTGCAGTCCTGTTGAGCGAGATCCTGAAGAACTGACTTCCTGTTAGCAACAAACTTCGTTAGGTGAAATCCCCCTTCTGCGCAGAGCGCTTGTACTTCTGTCGCGATGAGGCGCGCTTCTTCCTCTGATGATGCTGACCGCAGGCAATCATCAACATAGAAGTTCCTGCGAACTGTGTCGGTTGCTTCAGCACTGTAGCGACTCCGGCAATCATCTGCAGTCCGTCTCAAGGCGAAGTTTGAACAGCTTGGTGACGAACTGGCTCCGAAGATGTGAACCTTCATCCGGAAGTCCTTCGGTTCGGCGCTGATGTCTCCCTCGGGCCACCACAGAAACCGCAACAGGTCTCTGTCTGATTCCGGCACTGTGACCTGATAAAACATCGAGCGGATGTCTGCCATGAAAGCCACCGGCTCTGTGCGGAAGCGCAGAAGCACGCCCAACAAAGAGCTAGTAAGGTCGGGGCCCTGGAGCAGCACATCATTTAGCGAGACATTGCCGTGCCTGGCCGCACAGTCGAAGACCACCCTGACTTTGTCTGGCTTGTGTGGATGGTACACCCCGTGGTGGGGTACGTACCAAACACGCCCATCTTCTCGGCTCAAGTTTCCCTCGGGTACTTCCTCAGCATAACCTTCGTCCAGGAGATTCTTCATGAAGGTCGTGTAGTGCTCCGTGAACTTCGTGTCCCTTTTCAGCTTCCTCTCGAGACTGCACAGCCTCCGCAAGGCCATGTTTCTGTTGCTCGGCAACCGGACATCGTCATCCTTGAGGGGAAGGCCGATCTCGTAGTGCCCCTCTTTGAGCTTCACGCTCTCTTCCACCTTCTTCTTCCACTGTCGGTCTTCTTGTGACAACCCGAGCTCGGTGCTTGACATGTCATCGCCGAATTCTGCGTTGTACAGATCCCTGATTAGCTCATCGGGCTTCTGGTCAATCTTGATGCGATGGACTCTGGCTCTGTGCTGCTTCTCATATCCTGGAGTACTTCCTTTTCTGGGGCCGGCCATGGTCCATCCAAAGACTGTTCTCACTGCATACGGCCCTTCGTCCTCACTTCTCACAGCCTCCAAAGGCTCCAATGCCTTGGGACAATTGTAGCCGATGAGGAGACCGACTTCAACATCTTGACCTGCTTCTGGTAGACTGATACCCTTCAAGTGAGGCCACTCATCTGCATCCCTCTGTCTTGGAATCTCTTCCTTGGACACAGGTAAGCCGTCCAACGTGTATAACGGAGGAAGAGGAATGCTACTGACTCCATCCAGATCGCTCACTTCCAATCCTCCTGTCACCTGTGTGTGCAGAAGCTTCTTCCCTGATACGGTCGTCAGGGCCAGAGTACGCCGAGTACTGGGAACATCCAACTTCGCCAGCAGAGCTGAGTCGATGAACGACGCTGAGCTGCCGTTGTCCAGGAAGGCATATGTCGTCACGGCACGTGCCTGTCGACCAGAGGGGAAAATCTTCACCGGCACGATGTTCATTGACCCGCCACCTTCCGACGTGGCTGCACTGACATGGGCGCTGGATGCTTGCACCCCGACACTTGGTCGCTGAGCTTCCTCCTGACTTCTGCATGCTACTTTCGTACTCGGCCGGTCTTTTTTGGCTTGCTTCACAGCCGTCTGCCGGTCATCATCGTGAAACAACGTCACGTGCCTTCCATTGCACACGCGACAGATAGATCTCCTACGACACTGACTGACAACGTGACCGGCACCGAGACAACCGAAGCAGAGTCCTCTGTCTCTGACGAAGGCTGTGCGTTCCTCCATGCTCCTCTGAGACAGGCTGTCACAGATGTGCAAGAGGTGAGGACCATTACAAAAGTAGCATCGCCTTGGACCACGCGAGCTGTCCATCGCCGTTGTGCTTTGAGCCGAAGTCGCAAAGCTCGACCTCTTGGTGACGTTACTGCTCGTCATCCTCCCTCTGTGTGCTTCTTTGGGCTCTTCTCTTCCGAACACTGGATCTCTGGCAATGGCCGCCTCCTTGTCAACAAACTCCACCAAGTCCTCAAACTTCAGTCGTCTTGCCTCAGTCTGCGTAATGTGGTGCGCGATTCGGCGCCACCTTTCTTGCATATTTGACGGCAACTTCTCAACCACGGTCTTCATGATCTGAGGGTTGTCAAGCTCTTCTAAGCCTGGGGTGTTCTGCATCGCATTTTTGCATCCAACCAGGAAGATGGAGAAATCATCTAACAACGCGACGCTAGCTTTCACAGGAGGCCAAGAAGCCACCTTTTCTATGTATGAGTGGGCCACTCTTGTGGGGCAGCCGTAGCGCCTCTCCAGCAGCCCCCATGCTTCCCTGTATGCTGCTGCTGGCTCGAGGTGCATTGCGCTTCTGACGAGCTCCCTGGCTTTACCTGTGACGTGCTGATCCAAATAGTATAGCATCTCTCCTGGGTCCTCTGTTCTTCTAGCTATCCTTGCTTCAAACGCACGCTGAAATGACGGGTAGTGCATAACATCTCCATCAAACATTGGTACCTCAGCAGGTGGCAACGTGTTTCTAGAGAGCTGTCTGGCTAGCTGACTGAGGACGTCCTGAGAAGCAAGGGAGGACTGTGACCTGTCTGGACAGGTTTGAGGACCGGCAAATGAGCTGGAAACAGCTGGCAGCTCCCGCGCTCCAGTCGGCAGGCTAACAGCAGCTGGTCCCTCATCAGTAATGCCGGCTACACCCAGTCCTCCAGCCGTCGGCAGGCCAGCCAAGCCCAGTCCTCTAGCTGGCGGCAGGCGAGCTGACAGGCCAGCAGCATCCCAGCTTCCAGTTGGCAGGCCGGTCGCACCCATTACTCCAAGCATCAGACCGGCTGCACTCGTTCTTCCAGCCGGCAGGGGAGCAGCATCCAGCCCTCTGGTTGCCAGGCCAGCCACATCCATTCTTCTAGCCGGCAGGCCAGCAGCATTCTGTCCCACAAGGGGCAGACCAGTTGCGTCCACTCCTCCAGCTGAACCAAGTCCTCCAGCCGGCAGGTCAGGAGCACCCAGACCTCCACTCATCAGGCCAGGAGCACCCAGTCCTCCAGCCGGCAGGCCATCTGCACTCCCATATTCAGTCACCAGGCCAGTCGTACCCAATGTTCCAGCCGACAGGCCAGCAGCAACCCTGCCTCCAGTCACCGGGCCAGGAGCATGTAGTCCCCCAGCGGGCAGACCAGCCGCACCCTGTCCTCCAGCCGGCAGGCCAGTTGCGGTCACTCCTCCAGCCGCCAGGCTCGCTGAACCTAGCCCTCCAGCTGGCAGGACAGCAGCACCCAGACCTCCACCTCCAGTCGTCAGGCCAGGAGCACTCAGTCCCCCAGCTGGCAGGGAAGCAGGGGGAGCTAGCCCATAGGTGGGCAGCGGCCCGCAGCCTGCAAACAGGGAGGAAGGGTTCCGGTAAGCATCAGACTGGGCACAGACTACAACAGGCGGCATTTGGGCATCCATTTGCATGACTGACTGCTTCAATTCATGTTGGCTGACTTCATCTAGCATTAGACTATTGAGTTCTGCTTCATTTTCTGCCATGGACACTTGCAGTTCCATTTCTTCTCTTTTCAGCTTCATGCTTGCTTCAGCCCTTTCTTTCTTCTGACGTACCATTTGCTCCTCATGTTCCAGCTTCTCTTGCATCTCCAACTCTTGTTCCATGAATTTCTGCTTAATCTTCAGTGCTTCACACCTTGCTCTCAGACCAGCACGCTTAGCTGCTCGTTTCGCCCTCTCTAACCTTATGGAACCAGACTGACCCGAGCTCCCACTCTTACTAGAACCAGCAGAAGAGGTGTGACCTTGGGGAAGAGAATCTTCAGGAAGGGGATTTGAATCACCATGCCTAACAAAACTGAATTCTTCTGGATCTAACCCATCTTCCATAAGGCACTGCCTCAACCTATCCTTCAGAATTCCCTTAGTACCAGCCACATCCTGGTTCCGAGCTGCTAGTTCCCTTTTTAAGTCAGCCACGAGCAATGAATCCAAAGTCAGCTTGTCCCCATCTGCCATTGTGAGAGCTTATGTGTGCTACAAACAGCTGGCTCAATCTACAATCCCACTCAGCGGCATCAAAAGGGGCATAGTACGTGATCAGCAGTCAGCACATTGCATCATGCAAGTACACATCAATGATCAACACTTAGCATACATGTTGGCACTGTTAACATTCTCAATCACCATCTAGCACAACACAGCAAGTTTACAAGTCCAAACCTCAGCTCCAGGTGGCAGTGACGACTGATGAGCTTTCCGAAACCACCACCAGGTTCCGCTGCTGATTGCGTCCAAGATGTAGGTATGTAACAGTAAGCCATCCAGTAGCGGATCTTCCAGAAACTATAGCTGCCACTTTGGCTGCTCTGCTTTAATTATTTGTTGCTCTGCCTTCCTTTGTTCTTGAATTCTCTGTTATCTGACCCAAGGCGTCTGATCAACCCAATCTGCGCTAAAAATGTCTCTCGTGCGCCATCTCTTTATTGTCACTCTTGCTTCCAGCGTGACTTACTCACAGACAGCGCCCTTTCTCACACGGTTTCTGGAATTAACGCGTCTGGGTTCGATCTTAATAACATCTAGACACATATCCTCTGTCCAGACACAAACTCAAACGTAGCTCATCGGACTTCCTCCAACTTCCATAGTGAAAACGACAACAACTAACGCCGCGACAATACACCGAGCGCACCAACAAACATGTTCGAAACATCAGCGCCACCTTAGTCACCGGACAACGAGTGAACGACGCCTCCAAATTATAGAGCGGCGACTACAGCTTCACTACGTCTGCAATCTGCATGCGTGTAGTTCAGGGAGTTCCATCTGTTATCAGCATACCGACCTAAACAATGAGCAGCGAGCGGTCAGCTCCATCCCTCAAAATGATTGTGACAAAAAGACCTGCTTTTCGTCTAGATAGGCATCGACGCTATATTATATTTCTCATCACCAAAAGCTTTGGGAGTGGCAAAAGGATAGTCTTGCCGACACTATTCAGCTATGGGGAGGGCAAATACCTACTATGCCCTTCACTGGATCCGCCATCGCATGACGTGAAATGGTAGAATGTATCCCAAAACTTCTTACCAATTCCTATTGTATGGTGCGTTATGTAACATGCAACGTGCATGTAAAAGCACCTCATTGCCATACTAACTGACGCTTACTGCAGCAAACTGATGCTTTTTCATAAAGGTGGACAGCACTAATGATACCATACCACCTACATCGAAGAACATCGAAGTAGTAATACTGACTGAAGAGGCCGATGGTAACCCTGCCGAACGCAAACAGGTAATGGACGACCAAAAGCCGATCATCGTGATCAGCGGTCTGTGGCAGGTCTCATACAGTCACCTTTCACCTCACAGTCCCATCTTAAACTGGGCACAATGAATATTTAATTGCGCTTCAGCAGGTACTAAAATATATTTATAAGCTATCAAGGAAGCATGTGTGTAGCGACCATACAGCTTCTGAGCCCATCTATGAATTTACTGCAATAGCCATGGGGTGCAAGGTTCCTATTATATACCTATAGGTACTGTACTTAATTAATTACACCGATAATGCTGTTGATATTTAAGAAATGTATGTTTCATAGGAATGCTAGCAGTTTTTGAATGAACAACTGTCATTCACCGACATTGTCCGGTCTCCGGTTCCGGAGACCCTTTGTTTTCTTCTCGCGGCACATGAAAATGCAGCTGGCACGTGTCGTAGGGGGTCGTGCCGTCAGCTGATTACGCCCCAGGGTACGTCAGGTCGCACACAGGTCGGCGACCTTCCATGGGACACCAACTCGTCACAACAGACGAGAGAATGAACGAGGAGTACTAGCATTTTCCCTTGACGCACGCTAGCGACCGTCCCATGGCTCAGCAGGAGCAGACGTGACTCGTTCAAAAAAGTGTTCACCCCCAACACCGGCGCACTCAGGCGCAGCTGAAATTTTGAGGACATATAGACAACTCCTCGACCCACAGTGTGGTGGTAGTCAGAGACCGTACACTAGCGTACAA